TTTTTTTTTTTTTACAATTTTTTTTGTTTAATTTTTTTGTTTTTGATTTTTTTTATTAAATTTATTAATTATAAGTTTTTGTTTTAAAATTTTTTATAGTATTCAGTACTATTTAGTTCCTATTACTTTGGAAAACTAGTTACAAGTAGTTAAACTGCAGAGTTGCCAAAAAAATAGTTGCCACAACTATTTAGATTTCTCTCAGTGTAACGAATTTGTGAAACCAATATTAGATATACTTATGTATTATATCTATGTAATAGTACTAAAGATAAATGTGACTTCTCACAAATCCGTTGCCCTAAAATGGATAGACTAGATCAGACTAGACTGAATAATTAATCCTGGAGCATTATTATTTTATCGATTTATTGTGCTTACGGGAGAATGCACCCATAAGCACATACATTATGTCGGTGCATTATTTGTTAATGCATCTAATGTTCTTTGCATCGTAGAACACACGAAATATACCAGTCGCTTGAAATATAAGCAAGTTATTTAAAATTGGTAAATATATATTCTAATATCAAGTATATAACGATATTAGTTATGATCTTTTTTGTGCAATACTAAAATCAATTATTTAAATTTAATACATTAATTACATTTTTCAAATTTGTTTTTAAAATTATTAAGAAATAGACAAAGAACTAAAGTAAAATTTTTTTAAATATAGAATAACATTTTTTGGATATAAGATTTCACTTAAGTTTTTTATGACTTTTATTTTTTGTGTAGAATAAAAATTTTAAAAACATATACTTTTTATATTACAATTAAAATAAATAGAAAATAATTTTTTTATAGATAGACAGTTTAATTACAATTAAAGAATGAAAAAATAATAAAAGATATAGATATCTGTAGGTTTAACAAAATAAAATAAATTAACCGATTATATAGATAAGAAAAATTTTGATACAACAATTAAATGTGTTTCTTCATTTTCTTTTCTCTCTCTCACTTTTCTTATCCTCTATATTCCTCCAGGATTAAATATTACATAAATTGGTGTAAGAAAGCAAAATGTATTAATAAATTCAATATGCATGTACGTATTACAAATGGAAAAGACCAAAAGATATTTTGATTTGCGTTGCATATATTCTACACACGAACCTTATTATATATAGATCACATTAAGAAGTGTTAATCGTACCTACTTATTTTTATTGTACACATATGCGTACAATGCACCGATTTTATCCTAATTTTTTATAGTCTATCCATGTAACTTGGTTTTGTATAAACAAAGCAAAATAAAATGACGTGAGATCTAGTGAATATTTTGTCGCGGGACAGAATCATTTTTTATGTAGAATTATCTCAAAGTTGATAGTTTTCATATCAATTATATTACATTAAAATGCATAATATAATCGTAGATATGTATTTCTGATAAGTCAAACTAAATATAATTTGGATAACAATTTGCATTATATTAATAACGAAATATTTGCATTATATTAATAACGAAGTATTTATATAGATATAGGTATATGAAAGTTTGTAAAGACAAATGTTACATGCGCGGAACTTAATAAATTTATTTTATTGAGATTGCGATACTAATTATGTGAAGAAATTATTGTTTTCTTTGGATCTCACGTCATTCAATCTGAATATCTCACTGATATCTAAAGTGAGATTAAGTAACGATTCGTGATTTGGTTCGCGGTTCGGTTCGCGATTCGGTTTATACTAAACATTGTTTGCCCATTTATTAATAAATAATTGATTGATTGAGTCATCAATTAATTTTTAAATTTCTGTTGTCTCGTGTTTCTACATTATACTATTGAAATCCAGATAATTGCGACTGATTGTGAGATATAATTGCGACGATTTTTATTAGAATGCGATTAACATAAAATTCTTTCATTTCTTGATGATATAATTCTGTTTTACTTTCTATTACTGCTATAATTTTTGGACAAATAAATTAATTACGCGTATCTTTGTGAAATTAAAAGCAAAATTAAGTCAGACTTAATTGGTTGTTTATTTTATTCGATATGATTAACGCGCGCTTATTAACGATTGCAACGATTCGTAATCGACCGTAACATTATAATCGTCTGCCGGCGCTGTTAATCAGCCGGCATTGAAGGAGTTTTTCCTTTTCTCATTTTTTTGGCTGACACAGCCAAAATGAATTTGGCCAATAACAACGTAATAGGTGAGTTCAATGATTTTGGCCAGAAGAAACTACAGAAATTACGAACTGAACACCTTATAAGGCAAGGTCTATATTGACCAGAATTGGTTTGTAAGGTAATTAATTAACAGAATAATGAATTTTCTTTGCCAGTGTATAGAATAACAAATAAGCAACTTAATCGACAGACTGGCAATATATAACATCTCTTCGATGTGACCATTGAAACCACAGCCCCAGTGGTCGAATTGGCACGACACCCGCACGGTATACGGGAGGTTCCAGGTTCGAACCCTGGCTGGGGTAATATTTTTTCGCAATAAAATAAAAATTATTTAATTCAGAAATTACATCATCTGACCAAAAGCGTTGGTCGAAATTAATAATGTCTTGACGATTGACCCGAAAAAATGCTGTGTGAATCCGACAAAGCGAGTTGGCTCATAGTTTTTTCAATGGTCACATCGAAGAGATGTTATATATTGCCAGTCTATCGATTAAATTGTTTATTTGTAATTAATTAACATACATAAAATAATATACAAAATAATTTGACACATCTTACATACCTGTTTATTTGCCCAAAGTAGGGCTATTTTCTTTATATTTTCTCGCATATGTGCGAGATTAGAAAATCCCTTCTTAATATTAAATCTCAATCGCGCGCATGTTAAAACCCTCAATTTTATATTTCTCAAATCACAAGTGATCATATCACATTGAGGTATCCCGCTGAATTAACCAGCAAATCAGGTACCCTATTAAATCGTGTCGTGGTTTGAATTAAAGATTTATATTAGATTTATACTAAACTAGCATGCCCCGCCGGGCTTCGCCCCGAAGAACATGTGTATTAAGACACGCAAATAGTCTCTCTCTCTCTCTCTCTCTTTCTCTCTCCCCCTCTCCTTCCCCCCTCTTTCTCTTTCTCTCTCCCACTTTTCCCCCCTCTCTCTCCCTCTCCCTCTCCCTCTTCCTCTCCCTTTCTCTCTCTACCACTCCCTCTCTCTCTCTCTCTCTCTCTCTCTCTTTCTCCCGCTCTGGAAAAT